ACATGTTTATACCGTATACTGATAAATGAGAATGAGCATGGCTCAATCAGAATACACCTTTGTAGAAATGTATAAAAGGCCGCGCAGTGTATTAAATGGTGGTGGCGCATATGTACACAACATGCATATACACAAGTTGTATACTCGCATCATAAGTGAACATTTGACAGACAAAGTGATGCAAAAATCATCAAGTATATATTCATATTTTGAGGATCGCTTTATAGCGAGAGAACCTTCTTTTCTACAATGTTGCCTCGCACCCACTAGTATGCCCCCGGACACAAGTCTGCACATTACCTATAGAGAAAATTACCGGCTTCGACAGTGGTCTTCCGACATATGGCGCACACGTGATGTTCACAGCTGAATTCCCCACTGTACTCTTGAGGTTGCTCTTTCATGGCCAAATCAAAGGCCTCTACATCGTCATATCCTAGACATACTGGATGAAATGCGTTGGGACAGCTATCACACAGTACCAGTTCCCCGTCCAAACCACACGCCTGGCAGTGGTCGAAGTTCTCATAATCGTCTCCTGCTTTCAACTCCTTCCTCTCATCGTTAGTAGACCCTATTTGCATGGCGTCCACTTCGGTGTGTTTTGAAGCATTTTTAGTTTCCATAGCCGCCGGCATCCTTCAGTGATGCGCCAAACGTGGAGATACTATCGGCAAATTCGGCAATTTTCTAACAAGTTACAGCCAATGCATTGTGTAGTGTGTACTCACTACTCACCGTGCATACTAAATACATATGTAGCTTATGATCTTTATGATTTTATCCTCAAAGATCGCGCTCAATCGACCATGTGATTCGAAAAATTATAAAAATCTGAAAGTGAAGTCTGTCATATAATAACTTTACAAAAGCACAGAGCACGCAAATTGTGGTGTAAAGGGTCGTTGATTATGAGCCAGAGTATCGCTACGGTCAGACCCCATTCGATTGCAAAAACACAACTCCACATATGTACCATTGATGAAACGCTGCTGCTGTACATACCATTTATTAATTTATGTAGGGATATCATAGGACCAACATAATAGACGAGAAATTTGTACATATGACACGATTGGATTTATTGCTGGCCATATTGCGATTTTAATGCCTTTACTCGGTTTTTAGCGACACATTACAAGTATATGTCGAATAATGACACATATTCATTCTCGATGCTGTAATAGCTAATGGACAAATAGTCATCAGTAATCGTTCCAAAGACTGCACCTATACCCGCTTCACCATCGTCAGCATAATATGCTGAAAGCAGCCCGGGGGGGTCCAAGTCCTCGTCACCTCTGACATGCCTGGATTCTCCACCAGCAGCAGCTGTGATGTAGTACATACCTCCATTGCCTACAAATTTGCCAAAAACTGTCTCGGGTTCATCTTCTGGATATTTGACTAATGAGACTCCGTGATCATGGGCCATCAAGATCGCATCGATACCATGCTGCTTGAATGGGAATTCTTGAAAGGCATTCATGCCATCTCCATTCTCATAGTGCTCTGTCCAGTATTGCCCTGCACCCATGATGCTCTCATGAAGACTAACCAATTTCCACTTGGCTGTCGATGCGTCTACGGCCTCTGTGAACCACTCGCGCTGAGTGCTTCCTTCTTCAAAACTCTCGTATTTGTTCAACACAAACCACTGTATATCATTGATTTCAAAGGTATAATAAACTCCTTTGCTGGGAACAGTGAACCCTCCTGGCATCTCCGCACCCTCATCCTGAGAAAAAAAATTTCTTGCGCGATAGTACGTAGGATCAAGCCCAGATGCAGTTTCAATACACTCATGATTACCGATTGTGGCAAAAAATCGTCTAGTGTCACTGCCATCACCATACACTCCGTGGTAATTATACAACAAATCATGAAAATATCTACCAACTGTGTTATCATACACAAGTTCTTCGTATTCTGTGCCGGGTACATACGAGATATCTCCTCCGTGAACTATGTAATTCACACCCTTCGCTTTAACCATGTCTGCCACCTGATTGAAATTATCATTGTCTGGGGTATCTGCTATGAATGCGAATTCCGTAGCATTAACGGCTGTCAACAGAATAGTGGTCAAGATACGAAATGAGCTTTTAGCATACATATTCTAAAATAAAAAATATCACGATATGTATTCGTTTTTGTTGTTGTTGAGAATTTAGCAGACGATGTTCAAGTTTTTATATGGAAATTGGCGTCGAAGCAACAAGTCTATATAACTCTCTCCTCTACTATTTATTTAGTAGTAGTAGAGAGAGAGAGAGAGAGAGAGACTCTCTGGATTCTCTCTCTCTGGATCATAAGTCACGGGCTCATGGCCGGGCTCACATGTAAATAAATATTGTACATTAATGTAATTCCTGACCCTCTCTCTCTCACTCTCTCAGTCTCAGTCAATAGAGAGAGCGAGAGCCGTAGATTAAAAAATACTACAATACTTACCTTAAAAAAAATACTATTTTGAAAAAAACAAATACTACTCAATTCTGTATAGAGTATTGTTAGGAACTCTTTCAGTGTAGACCAGACTCCAGACTCCGGAGTCACCAGCCACAGAAATCACAGTATAGAGTACAGAGCATCATGCACATTTAAAAAAAATTATGCTGGCGTTACGCCTACGGAAATGTACACTTATCAGTTATGGACTTATGGGGGTTAAAAAAGGTAATCAAGACAATAACTGCCAATAGTTGTCCATTCCTTTTATTCAACTGATCAATGAACTCTGGTCTCAGGAGTCAGGATAACAAAGTAATATACATATTGTATATATATATTCAGTTATACACTTGCATATATTGTTTGATTTCAGAAGGCTATGCATATTTAAAAAAACAACAAAAACAACTGTTTGTGTATTGTTTAAAAAAAAAACAACCCATGAAATATCAACCAAGTTATATTTACATTTGCACAGTAGCCGTTGAGCCGTGGCAGTGTGGCTGCCGTGGCCTGCTGTCACCTGTGTCAATACTCATTTCCCATAGATTTAAAAATATTAATTATGTAACACCGTAGTAATTTCATAGTAATCTGACCTTTGTCACCATTATTTGTTTTCTTTTAAAAAAGGAACTCAGTGTTTTAAAACAAATTACAAATAGCAATAAAAAATATAACACGATTGATTATAACTATTTTTAAAAATAGATTGATTATCGTTGCCTTTTTAGTTTTTAGAGATGAGAGATAATCTCACAAAATAAATACATGCATTTGTACATACTGTATACGTTATTTTATAAAAAACAAAAAACGGAACCTTGAGACTCCTTGGAGCATGGACAGATTCCCCCGGGCCCGCGATACTTTTGTGTGCCTTCGGCTTCACTCCTTCAGTCAGTTTACTGTTCAGTCACAGTGTCGACTGTCGTATATTTTTAAAATTCAGTTTCGGTACATGGAACAATCTGTTTTATGTATATTCATGTTTTGTTAAGAAAAACAATCTATCTAACCAATCTGTTGAGGCGTCTGTTAAAAATTTAAAGTGTCTGTGGCCTATTACGGCATATTTGTTAGAATCGCTCTAATAGTGATTTCGCTTCAGCATTCGCCATTCAGTAACCAGGAGTGATTCAGTACATGCTCCCAACTTCCATAAATTGCAATTATAT